TTGTTTACTAAAAAATATTTATCTATATTGATTTCATTTTCTTTTCATTTACTAACAAACATATGGATTGATTATATTTTTTCTTTCTTTCTCATTCTCTTCTTTATTATTAAAACGTGTTCTTACCAAATAGTAGTATGGTATGTTTGATTCACTTTCTTTCTCTCTTTCTTTCTGTCGGAATCTTTTTTTTTTCTTCTCTATTCTCTTTAATTTCATATGCCATTTTTCTATATATTTCTATATATATATATATAGGAGAACGGGAACGTTGTACGTGAAAGTGATAAACGTGACGAAGTCTATTTTGAAAAGGGTCAAACAAAACAGCTTGTCGAACAGTGGAAAACAAAACAAGCTTCACCAGATCGAGATACACCTGACGCTCAAGTTATACAGGACGCTGAAATACTTCAACAAGGTGTGTAATCAGATAAAGTTATTATTATTCTATTTTTGTATACGCCTACTAGACGAGAAAGAGAGAAAAAAAAAAGGTCTTAATCATATATTTTATATCATAGGTAAAGCAAAAAATCTTGTTGAATTGTGGAAAACAATGGATAAAGAGAACTCACCACCTCCTGAACGACGTGGACCACGTGCAATTACACCACCAGCTGACAACGAACGACGTTTACCACCTGCTGAAGATGTAATATTACATATTATCTAATTATTACTATATTTTTAATATATATACATATATATACAGGATGAAACGGCTTCTCGGAAACCAGGCTATGCAGATGATAAAGCTAATATTGAATCAGGTCATGCCAAAGCTGCTCGAGAAAGGTATAAATTTTAGTTTATTTTTGTGTATGTTTGCATCCTTATAGTCTTTTTTTTAACTACAATTGCATGTTATTATATAGTGACGAAGAATATCTTGGTGTTGATAATCTTGTCTCTATTATTCATGACTTATGGAATAAGAATACTAATAATAATGAGTAGGTAGCTGCTCGTATCTTTACACTTAATTCCATTGCTTAGCTTTATTTTTTCTTTTCTATTTGATATAAAACATAATAATAATAATAATAACAAATAAATAATAATTATTATATTTTGCTTTTTTGAAGACTCATGCAAAGTGCCGAACAAAGTAGTTCAGGTACAAGAAAAACATTGAAACAAATCACACCACCACCAGAAGGTGTTCAAAGGTAGAAAAATTTTTGCAATAAAAAATAAAAATAATTTTCATTCGAATTCTTATTAGAAAATCAGCATCACCAACAGCGGATACAGGAGATAGTTCAAGTGGTATAAGAGAACAATATAATGATAGTGAAGAAATTGTACCAACTAAAGGCCAAGCTCAATCATTAAAAAATCGTTTTGTTGAACTTGAAAAAGATGCACTTAAAGTTGAAACAGCGTCATCTAAAGTTAAACATACACCAAAACGATTTGTTGTATGTTTTTATTTTTATATAAAATATGAAAGAGAACTTGAAAGAAAAATAAAATCTTTTAGGATAAACCTGCACCGAAACAAACCAATGTTGAACCAGCTGTTGATTCAAATAAATGTTCTGTATGCAATAAAACAGTTTATGCAATGGAAAAAGTATTTAAATATATTATTATTATTATTATTATTTCTTTTTTTGTGTTAATCATTTGAATACATTTCCTTTTTTTTTCTTAAGATTGAAGCAGACAAAAAAATTTATCACAAATCATGTTTTAAATGTATGCATTGCAAATCGATATTGAAGTGAGTATTGAAATAGAACAATCTACATTTTTCTGTATTGTTTTAGAGGAAAATAATAATAATAATAAAAGTCCATTTATCAACAATCAATCGTAGGCGTGTGTTTTTTCTTTTTATACCTCCCTTTGCCGTGTGATCAAAGAGCATGTCGTTTTATTTTTGAATGTTTCGAATAATTTCTTTTTTGTTTTTTTTTGAAAAGTATTTGTAATCAATGATGATTTGTTTTTATTTTTAGACTTGGCAATTATACAGCTAACGATGGACAAATTTATTGTAAACCCCATTTTCTTCAATTATTTGCTATAAAAGGAAATTATTCAGCTGGTTTCGGTCTTAATGATCACAAGACACGATGGTTATCAAATTCTTCTTCATCTTCTTCTCCTACTAGTATATCAAATACACACGAGTCAACATTTTCCAACGAAAGTTAAAATTTAGTTTCCTTTTCTTTCTTTTTTGCTGCTTATTTGTGATTTCTTTTTTTCTTTGATTCTTTTTTTTTTTGCTTATTTATTCGTAATAATTATCAATAATAACAACCTAGCAGCAACATGTATGTGTCATTTGTGATCTTTTTCTTTTGTTGTATAAAATTATTTCCTTTTTTTTTTTCTGTTTAAATGATTATAAAATTTATATACATCATTCTTAATCTCGTTTGCGCTATAGTCGCTTTTTTCTTTTTCTGTTATTTGTCATTATGCAATATAGAAAAAAAAATTTAATTAAAACAAGAAAAAGTGTTCTTTTTATTTATATTTTGTTTGCTTTATGTGTTATATTGTACTTGGACGAAAAAGAGAAAAAAAAAGACATTTTTGCTTCATTTTTAGTGCTTTCTTTGGATATATAACGAAAACACAAAAATATAGTTGCTCAACAAACAAAATAATCTAAAGGTTTTTTTTCTGAATATATGTTGTTCTTATTTTCTGTAGATATTGTGCACTCGCTAATAGATGCGATAGATTAGAGTTAAATTTCTTATTGAGTATTATATAAATGGAGTCATATTAAATATTGTGAATGATTTCAAGAGAATTCTACATGACAAACTAACAGCTGCATAGTCGGAACCGGTCAGATGTTTTTTCAACTGGACCGGATCGACTGCTTGAAATTCTTGACTTAACTGGTGAACAATCGATGCGTTTAATATATCAATTAATCAATTGAGGCACAATAAATAGTTTCCTAGTTGCATGGTACTAGTAATTGACAAGTTCTTGGCAATAGAATGGAATCTTTTATAATATTTTGTAATGAAAGCATGAAATGAAAAATACAGGCTATCGGAATTTTATGAGTGTGGGTTAAAAGTGGTCCAAAAAAATGAACTTGAAATTTCGAGATGAAAAATCTTTACTTTAGATCGAAACTGACTTCTAATATCTGATTAACTTTTCGTCAGCATAATAAATTCATTCCGCATGATCCAAGACTTTCATCCTACGATGAGAAAGTGTTAGCTCAATATTTAGAGCTATGATTTTCACAGCGACAGAAAATTTGTCAGTTGGAAACTTCCAACCTCATATCTCTTGTTCATGAAAACCATGGAAATTGTTAAAAATAAGTAAAAGAGGTCAACTGTAGTGTCCCAAAAAAAATCAATAAAAAAACCGGCGAAGACCGACCTGGATCGGTAACTGACAAACCGATCGGTTCAATTCCAAGTATGAACAGCTATATTGAAGGAAATAGTATTCAATATAATTTTTTATTTGGAAAAAAAAACCATAAGTTTCTGGTAAATAATCTAGTAAAGGAGTCTATTTTTCAAAGGAAATTCATTATCAGAACATGTATCCGATATGATCTAACAGAATGATCAAGCATTACGAAATTTCATTTACTTGCATTACGACATTTGTATCCCTCCTAATGATAAAAGTAAACTCTTTGGAATTTTTATCATACATAGAGAAAATTTAGATTTACTATAAGTAAATATTTCATTGATTTTTCTTCAACTACAACTAAGCTATTCAAAAAATATCAATTATTACAAAATTTCAAAAACTGAAATTTTTTTTTTATTTAAGAACCTGAGAATATACATAGTATTTCAGCTCGAAATAAAGTGACATATGAATAAGCGTTCTATACAAAAGTTATTCAATTTTCAGCAAGCTTCTAACATATTAGGTCTTTCTTAACAAGCACAATTACATCGAATAAAAAACTAAAAGTACTGTAAGTTACAGAATTTCATAAAAAATACAGATGATTAGTGAAAGTATTATCTTAGATCGTAGGCATCGATATTTGTATGAAAATCATATATTGAAATAGTATTTCAAATTCTATCGATTAATATCTAATCTGAAGAATATTTTCTACTGATTCACAATTTTTTAAATATCAATTCTACCACCTTCTGTTACTTATATTTTCGAATTGACCACTCAAAGAAAGGTTTCACATGTCTGAAATATTTAAGACTTCTAAAGAATAGAAATATTTCGATTTCACATACTATTGACTGTACTATTTTCAATAGTAAACTCAGATTTCTTTACTCATGGGTTCACGAATCCTTCCCGTGTATGAGTGATTGATAGTTGATCATGATGTGAACAAATTTTTGAGTGATACTTTGCTGTGAGAAAAGAAGAATAGAGAAAATAATGTGATGCACGTAAATCAAGAAGTACTAATACAAAACAAGGTTTAAATAAATTGTGCAATTATTACAAATTTGTTCAATTGAAGACGAGCAATCATAATGATAGTTAATATGCAAATGTTTAATCGATAGTATAGGAAGATAAATGTTGACGAAGTGATATTTGATGTTCGATTTTAAAACAAATAAATTTTATATAGTGATGACTCAATTTAGAAAAATTCTAAACAATAGTTTGTAAGATGTAAAACATGGTTTTATTAATGCGATACTTTAGTTTTCATTTTAGTTCGTAATATTATTTAACTTGAAACTGATAAGCATTAGATAAGAACTCATATTTATCATTGACTTGTCATGCACAAACAGTCAAATGAAATATTGTGTAGAAAATGGCTGTGACAACATTAATAATGATATAGTGATTGTTGAGACGCAAATAATAAAAAATAAATCTTTAATGCAATATGTTGACAAATTTATGAAATATGAAAACGACACATAAAACTGTAAAAATATGTTATTTAGTATCCTACATATTGCTTGTTGTAAATCATTCAAAAACGAACAATCAATAAAAATTTCACATTTTTCATAAATAAAGATTATCTAACAGTTAAATTATCCATGAAAACGTCAAAATTTTTGTTTAGTACGTTGTCCTTCTAGCCATTTTTGATAGACTAATGCACGTCGTTCAAGATCACTATCAAATGGTGGCAAACCTTTATATTTAACAAATACAAGTTCATAAGGATCATGTGTAATCCCATCAATAGAGTTATCTATAAATATCGGACTAACTCGATTATTACAATCCCAATTTTCTTTTTTACGAAAATCCCAACCTTGATATTTTGTTTGTAATGATGCTATTTGATAATTAGCAAGAAGAATAAGTTGACTTGCACCTATTTCACCATTTACAACAGCATCATTATAATCTTTTTTACAATTAAATACTCCACTTTTTTCATCAGTTAATATAGATAAACCAATTTCATCAGTGACTAACAAATAACTTTGTATATGTGGTTTAATTTGACAACTAAGTGTTGAACCAACAAGTTTTACTTCATCATTTAAACGTTGAATAAATACTGTAAACCACCACATGAGTTCATGATCAAAATAAGCAGCAAAAAATGGTCCACGTATTGATGCATTCATAAAGATAAAATATTTATATAAAGTTATATCAACAATTTTACTTGATAAAAACCATCCAACTGTACCAAAATCAAAACATTCATTTTCATGTTGAATATAATGTGCATTGGATGGAAGTGATGGTAAACGTGATTCATTAACTGGCTTTTTATTGACTTTTTGTAGAATAAAATAATAATCAGCTGGTTGTGATGAATGAATACCATAACGAATAAAAAACTCAAGATTGCCAACTGCCTGTACATCTGTATCAGCCCAAATATAAATAACTAAAATTCGTCCAGTATGAGTTGATTTTAGTCGATGAGATGATGGTTTTATTTGCATGAAATTGTTGAATGATGATGATGATGATGATGATGATGACGATTTTAATAAATACAAATATATAATATATAAATATGGAAGTATTAATAAAACAAAATAAGTTGATGGATAACGTCGTGACAAATCCATTTCTGAAAAGATTATAGAACCGAAAGACAATTTTTTTTTTGCCAAAGAAATCAGTTTAAAAATTTGATTCTCGATACATAAATAAAAGTAATAGGGTGAATTCTTATGCTTCTAAACTCATGTTTTATGACACGTCATCTCATGTGTTTTTTTTTCTTTTAAGGGGAACCCCACTCCGAAATCTATCTTCTAAACGGTACCACAGATTTTGATGAAAATTTCAGGAAATAGAACAACTAATGTAAATAGCATTTGATAAAAATTTGAATCAATAATTTTTGATAATTAATGAGTTATACTCAATTTACTCCTAAAAACGGGGCTTCTGGCACGGAACATTTTCTCGATGCCCCACAGCATGATAAATGTTGAACTTTGTTCCAAAATGAAGGAAAATCTTTTATCTAGGAATTATAGGAACAGTTTTTTGAAATTCATTTTCATTGAACTGTAGTGACCATTTCAAACTGAGAATCGCGAAAACTGTTTTGAGCTCTTTCAAAGATTTTCATATATCTGAACAATGGATACATATTTTAAAAATCTGTCCCTACAATTTCTAGAGAAAAGTCTCATCTTTTGAATAGAAAAAATATTAGCAGTGTACGTCAAACAGTGGACTGGGAATATGTTCCGCAGTGATCAGTAAACGATAAAATAGTGAAGCTGAGAAAAACGAATAATAACATTGCGAAGTAGTTGATAATGTTTCTGTGTAGGAAATTAGAGAATGTTATATATCATTGAAAAGTATGTAAAAAGCTCTTGCAGTTGATGATGTTTTCAAGAAAAAATTAAGCTAATTTCTAAATCTAAGCTTACTGTGGCCTCACCTTTACGAAAAATAACCTAACTTTGAAGCTTATTTCTCTGACTTCAATAGTCAGAACATAATTACTTGATACGTCGATGGTTTTATACTGCTGATAAAGAAGATGGAATGATATCAATTACCGGTAACTAAGGAAAAAAGATCAACACAACAGTCGATTTCCCACTATGATTTCCAATAGATACCCCAAAATTTGGCAAAATATGTGCTGTTCTTATATAATTTATACATATTCTGAAAGAAGACACTCAGGGCTACTAGAATATGTGTTTTTTCAAAAATCGGGTTTTTCAAGGAAACTCGACTTTCGGAGAGGGAGTTCCCCCTTAATATGGTTGCTTTTTCCTCAATACCTTATTGATTGAATTTATATAATGTGACTAGAAGCGTTTCAATGTGTACAATGATTCCAGTTACTAGGGGTTGTGTAGTAATTATTGTTTTGTATATATTACACTATATTGCCATGCAATGATGCAGAAAAATGAATATAGAATTTATTCAATTCATCGCTACCCAGAGAGAAGAAAAGAAAGAATGAGCGAAACTTACATGAATAAAACACGTCTACTGACAAATCTATTTGTCTCCATCCCTACGTAATATTTAGTAGGGAGTGTAGCTTTCTGATTCAAGAAATAAATTAATTGAATACCTTATTTTTTTCTGCATGTAGATACTCTGTTTCTGATTTAGCATTTTCGCTAACAAAGAGCAGAATTGTATTCTTTTTCACTTTCTTCATATATGATAGTGTGATTGAAAAAGGAGAATTGCAACTCAATTATAATATGAAGAAAAAGAAAAAGAATAAATGACACAGAAATTGAAACTCATATACGATATGCAGCGTGAAGCCGATTGGAATACCAATTATCGAGAAAGAGGTAATTTCTAGAAAATAAATAATTGTTTCTACGATAAAATATACAAATATTTTCTTTGAGAAGCATTTTCAATCTGTTGAAACTAACTTTATTTGATTATTAATTTAGCGGAAGAAGAGAAGTGATATCTCTATCTTCCAACTTTGTTGCAGTGTGAGTGCTGCCTAGTAGTAGATTTCATACTCTGATATCTTCCCTACAACTAATACTAGCTATAGTTCTAGACTGAAGGATGGTTTGCTCCAGAGCTTTTTGGTTGAATTGCTTGAGGTCCTCTTATAAATTAACTAACCACATACTAGCTGCAAGAGCAGATGTATGTCGCTACATAGCCAGCATGCGATAGGATGGATGATTCGAGACAAATAGCCGTTAGTAACTTTTCAAGTGTCATTCAAAGGCAAGTGGTACCTAGATTTGAATACAGTACATTATGAGCATGTGATCAACAACGTAGCACTTAGTCATGGCAGCACTCCATGGAGTCAGAAAACTTAGATATTGATCGATTGACGGAAATTGAAAACAAGGTAAAAGGAATGTATTGCGTCATTTATCACAAAGAGAATTCTATAAATGCGTATAAACAAGTTGCTGAACAAGATTATCGAATGATCGTTTGATTGTATATCTGATTCATGATCTATCATTAACTGTTCTCACAACTGTCGTATATAAAATCGGCTGTTTAAAGAGTTTCGAGTAACTTCTGCTGCACTCATTTTAATTATTGCGAAACACGTAAAAGAAAAAGTTCACAAAAATTTGTTTTGTTTTAGTTGTTTGTGAAGAGGCAGATCATTCTACAAAAGATTGAAAAATGGATGATGGATGACTCAATCTCGATATTTTCATTTCATGTTCCAAGGAATAATTCCTGATTTGTCATTTCTGTGATCATCACGAGAGAAAAAACAAAGACTTTCGATGCGTACGTTGAACAAAATAAAACATATGGAAGAAAATCAACTCTTGCCAGCTACGTCGAGGAAAAAGAAAAAGCAAATAACTCATGACAGCCTACATTAATTTTGTAGTTCGTACAGCATTAAAAGTGCTCTCTGCAAGGCAAATAATAAAACGTTTTCAACTATCATATTGCTCTTGAGTCGAGACTATATGCATTGTGTATGTCCTTTGAGATATGAATACGTCGAAAAAAGTTCAGATTATTAGTTGATCACTGCCGAAATATTACATTTTTACGATATCTTTTAGCACAATGCAATGGACCACCTCTGAAACATCATGAAAGCTAAGTTTCGAATTTCAACTTGATACTATACACAGAAGCAGACCTTAATAAGAATAGTTTATGGGGAAAGTTTTAGATATTTTATGTTTCCTATCTTAAGATACAGCAATGGTAAATACATGTTGTTGACGTTGCTGTATGCATTAGCAAACTCCGATGTTCTTATTGCAGAATAGGAGCAATTAAGAAAATCTGAAACTTTTAGAAGAGATCGATCTCGTTCAAGCCTGCCTCTATACGAAATATCAAGTCCAAATTTGAAATTGAGTTTTCTTGATATTCCTGAATGGGATCACGGCATTGAGCTAAAAAATACGGTAAAAATAGAGTATGTCGACAACGATAAGCTAATAGCTCGAGCTTTTTCTGGATGCATTCATAGTTCATTAGAACTTATACAATGGATATACCCATGTAGAACAAAAGTAGGCAAAACGAATTTTTTATTACTATAAACAATAAAAAATGACTACAAAAAGTAATAATAAGTGAACTTTTTTTAGTAACTTTTCTCTATGAGTAGTTACTTTCTTTTAATAAAAAATAGTACTTTATAGTAAATAAGTATCAGAGTACTTTTTATTACTAGTAAAAGTGTCTTCATACACTATTTTCGAAAAAAAAACTGGTAATAAAAAACTTTGAGACTTATTTACTATGAAATACTATTTTTTATTAAACGAAAGTAACTTTTCATAGAGGAAAGTTACTAAAAGAAAGTTCACTTATTATTACTTTTCGTAGTCATTTTTTACTGTTTATAGTAATAAAAAATTCGTTTTTGTCTATCTTTTTTTCTACATGGATAGTTCCAATTCAAGAGCAATGCAGCACTTGAAAATATTCTCTCGTAAGTTATTGTTTTTCGCCGATACATCTATTTTTTGGATATGAATGAAAGAACTGAAATTTATGTTATACTATGTTCAGAAATCTTTTGTTTGAATCTAATGTGTTGCATTCATATTCTTCAAAACAAAAGTACAGAAAATATTTTCATTACTTACATAATAATAAGATAAGTTTCCAGTAGGAGAAAAACAAATACTCAAGTGATTAACCGGTTTTGAAAATTTTTCTTTCAATATCCAAAGCAGCTTCAGAAATTTATATGATGGTAAAGTGAAAAGTAAAAAAAAAAGATGTTTATATTACGGTCGACAAACAATACACTGCTATGGTCTGTTATTTTTCATTGTTTCTATGAAGACAAAGAAAACGAAAAAAAGTCATGACTCTTTAGAATAGCAGCGCATTTTTTCTCGTAATGTAAAAGCATCCATAGAACAGTCGATGTTGAGAATTTTTTTTCTAATTACATAAAAGAAAAATAACTTTCATCTATCAGTCTTCATGAAAGTTTGATAAAAAAGTTAAAACCTATTGCCAAATGTGTCATATTTAATAACAGCACAGTAATTAGAAGCATTATTAGACGAGGACTCAGCCTCATTCTTACAAATGTTTGAGTTTTGCTTTAATAGGAGCTTGAGCATCTTCTAGAAGCGTTACCAAAGAATCGCCGGCTGATTTGCAAGTATGATCATGCGTGCTGTACCTACTACAGCTTCTTTTTGGTTATTCCACTAGAGAGAATATGATTAAATAATGTTTTTTATATGGCTTCTTCAACAGTCTAATATTGCCAATACATATATCTGAAAGAAATAATATTTTGGGATTGGAGAACGAGAAGCACGGAAACAATAAGCATGAGGAAAGTTCTGCACCAATACGTGAAGCACGGAAA